TGAAGGGATCGCAACTCCATCACCTGTGAGAGCATCCTGTGGAAAGCACAGATTTTGGTACTTCTGAAAGGCACGTTGCGAGCATGAGTTCCACCACAGTTATCCGAAGAAACATCTTTACCTTAAGTACCTGTCACGGTACACGTAACCGTGTCTCGGGCCGGTGGGTCATACAGCACGAGAGACGAATTTTATTTCCCCAAGAGAGAAAAAAAAGTGTACCCTTCCAGCGAATTTTCCCCAAACTAAAGAAAAATGGTGCAATATAATAATATCATCAAGCGTGTCCTCAATAGATATTTGACGACGTTGCGATTCTTCCACTAGAAAATTGAATATTCAAATAATAATCGAACCAAGTGATAGCTGAAATTTGGGCGGAGTTGGGGTTGGGGGGGGAGGGGGGGGTGGGGGAGAGGCATTGTCAAAAGAAGAAATTATGTTGAAGAAGACACCTGAAGGCGATTATGCTAAGAAATGATCTTTGAAATAATACAAAGCGTCTGAGTCAGACTCGCAAAATGCGACTGTTGATACAAGAAAGTCTGTCCAAGCGATAATAGTGTTTGATTTCTTGATTACATTAGAAAACGATAACTTAAACATCATCTCGACCCCATAGGGTCTCCACATAACTATGCACTGTTACATATTGTGCGCAATGGATGGGGTGTCCGCGGCATTCCCTTTGTTGGGACTTAGAAGCAACTTTAGCAACAGAAACTTTAAGAAAGAACAACGGTTCGTCAAACAATACAGAAACTCTTCACGGGACGTTTATTCTTTATATATTGCGAATTTCGAATGCGACTTGGGCGTGTGTGTGTTCATTTGGGGCGACTCGGTTTCTTAAAAGATTGTTCACCGAAGGAATAGCGCACAGATAACAGCATCAAATATTCCATCTTCACTCCCATTGTTTTACTTTTGTGAAACAAATAATACAATTAAGTGTAGAATAAATGTATTACCGACAGTAGTGGTTTGCACGCCATCAAGAAAATACGCATATGAATGCTTGCTGTTTAATGTGTACAGGTCGATAACCGATACAAAAAACGCGTCATCTATCATCATATCAATAAGCAAACTGTTGGAAAACTGCAGAAGGCAGTCGGATGCGTATTTACGATTGAATTTCATTAGCAAACATAAAGTGGAGCTGTCTGTTTAAATGCTTCACGCACAGGTTAATGGAAGTACGCACAGATTGCTTTATTTTAGGTTAAATCACCTCAGGCGCCCTGTGGGTTCAGGGATATTCTTTGTCTTTCTTTCGACTTCTGGCCAAAGTTAGATTTTCAGTTTACAGTTTTTGATGGGTATAGTGATTAGTATAATTAGTTAAACTGCATAATACTGCATCATTCGAAAGTTTGCAAAGGCACTTTTTTAAGTAAGTCTTACAAACTTTACCTCTCGCTACTTTGAAAATAATTTTCTTTTAGTCCGATGGTTCTTACAGCGTTCTTCCCGAGACCACAATCCATTAATCAATATAACTGGTAGTTAAATACAAATAAGCGGCAAATTACGATGGTTTCATTTTACAGCGTGTATTGAGAGATGCTCTGATATTTGCATCTGCATTTTCGCTCAGCGAATTTCCTCAACACCGTGGAGTTGTTTCCCCCTCAAACATTCAGCAGTCAGGAGAAACAGTCCTGCAGGCACTATCCAGTTTCAGAGCTTTTTAGGTGCAAAAATACAAACACGTCTATGAATTATTAATGCTGGAATTTTAAACATTGANTTTTTTTCCATGTCCATGAATATGCGTTCTGTAAAACTCTTCGATTTACCAACGCACACCTGCGTTTCGCTATTTGTTCGCATCACAAATGTAGACCTCGTACCCAATATGAAAACATTAAGAAATGGCCAGATTTGGAAACGTACTACTTACAGTACCTGCGACTTGTGATCTACTTATTTATCGTTGCGCGTGGATGTTGTAGAAACACTCAGTTATTGTATTGGAATACATGTTTGCTATCACATCAATTCCCTTCAGAAATATACTATTTTAAAAAAACAAAAGGTACAATCCTATAAGGTATTTAACACATTACTCCAGCAACACAGCAAATAGTAATCAACTTGACCTGGGAGTGGGTCTGGGTCAGTCTGTTAACAAGGGGTTGGTGTGGTGTGGGGGGAACCTGAGCAAAGGAGCGCAAAGCGGCAAAAAGGCACATCAGAGCATTGCTGGACTGCAACAAACCCTCCTGATTATGCAACTGTCCAGAGAAAGAAAAAATCGAAACCTGACCGAGGTACACCATTGATATATTTGAAATAATACAGTAATGTACGTATCCTCTCTATGATTTTATTTCCAGATTTATCAGTATTTATAGCGGATACGAGATTTTATATATGCGCGACGCAAAAAGCCTCTGATTTTACCCCCCAATTCCTTGCCTTTATCTTTCGTCTGTGTATTTTAAAGGCTTATGCTGCATTGTAGCTAAAATGGTGCACACCGACAATATTTATGGATTTGTACCAAAACATAAATACTCAGCATTCCTTGGAAACGCCTTCGCCCTCCAGTGCTACTTAATAGTAATAGTTGCTAAACGTAGTAACTATATTATAAATATGCATTAATGTTGTGGCCAGTTCTTTTGACTCTGCCTGTGATGTATGGGGGGGGGGGGGGGAGTAATTTCTCCGTGAAAATCTTAATTGCCAACTGTAACATTCGAGAGACAGAGAGAGACAGAGAGAGAGGGAGAGAGAGAGAGGAATATATTCCGCAAGCCGACAAAGAGAATAATAATGTATATGTTACCTTGGTCGGTTAAGTCCTTAAAATGAAAATTTGAAGTAAAATCCAAGTCCTGAAAGTTTGAATCATTCATTAGCACCTTATAATTACCCTGCTAATTAGGCTGACACACTACTTAATCATGAGTAATACGGCGTCATGTCACTGGCGCTTCGCATTATTCTGACATTCAACAAGAGTCAGGTTTCAGGACCGCACTGAAATTAACACAAGTTGATACACTCCGAAGGCACCAGTGGAATAATGTCAAGTCCCCCAACGGATCCGCGCACAAACAATATTTTCCGCGCAAAAAAAAAAAGTGTGCCACAAAGACGCGAGGAAGGGATGTTGCGAATATCCTCGTTCACAACAACTGAAGTTTCATTCCGAGGCATTAAAGACAATGCAGAAGAAAACAATGAAATCAAACTAAATGAAGGGTACATTGCAAACACACGCAGATACACACACGCACACACACGCACACACACGGGAAGAAACCGACTGACAGCCCCATTAGAATGCATTTTTTGCAAAAAAAAACTCCCGAAAAATTGCATGCCTTAGTACAAACGCGACAAATTGCAGATTGTTTCAATGTGGTGTAACGTATTATTGTGTTTTACGCGGTGCGGTTTCATCTAAATATTTACGGTCATTTGTGAAAAAATTTTTTGAAAAAAAACGCATCGAAGCGGACAACCATTCGCAGATATTGTAGGAGTTTCGAATTCAATGTACGTTACGAGGGCTGTTTATTTTCGATTGCTGTTTTCTCTCGTAATATTCGCGGGAGAATAGTGCTAACACAAGGCATCTCGCCTCGTAAGAAAACCCAAATAACGTTTGTTTGGAGAGGCGCATAATTTCCCCGTCACCCACAGTGTAAACAGTATTTGCTTTGCATTGGCATTAAACCGGTTTAATTGGTTCTGATGGGGGTAAATAAACAAAGATTAAAGTGATCATTTGTTGAGCAGAAGATTATGCAAATCAATATTTTTCACGATGCAGAGCAGAGCAGTGCACGCACAGTCGAAATTGATGAAAACACAGAGAGAGCCCCCGAACCGCTTTGGAGCTCCTAATATTTATATAAGTTGGACGGTTTTTAGAACACGATCGAAGAGAGAAAGGAAAGAAGAGTTACAATTGTGGAAATGGACCTATTGTTCGTCCCATTAGATTTGTGATCTCCCCCCCTCTCCTTAATTTGCCAACAAACGTGCCAATTACCGTAACGCAGGGGGTGGGAGAGGTGGGGGGGGGGGGGGGGACAGACCATCAAACGGTGGAATGTTTTCAAAGATTTTTTTTAATTCCAAAGGCGCAAATTTATTTCTCTTTTTCTCTCTCGCTCTCTCTCTCTCTCTCTCTCTCTATCTATCTATCTATATATTGTTTTGCTTTTTTTTTTGCATATGGTTTTGAAGGCTCACACAAAACGATGGAAATGGGTGGGGGGGTGGGGGGGAGGGGGGGGTTCTCAGTGAAAAGAGCATCTCCGGCATCGGATCGCCCTGCTCCACGAGATAAAATGCGTTCCACGCGATTGGGCTTCTGGCCGGGAACGTCAGCGTGTTAGGCAGGAGCAGGCCAATGGTGGGAAGAGTAATAAAATATTCGGTGAATTATCATAAGGGGGGGGGGTGGGGGGGTGGGGGTAAAGATGACACTTGGCCATGGCAAGTGACGTCAGGCTAGGAAGTAATTGCAGCCCAGGCACAAACGATTACTAGCAAAGAGCGTGGCGTCCAGGAGTTATCTCTGCTTCATCTCTGCACAACTCAACTTTGATCAAAGTTGAATAACTAGAGTCCAAAAAAAAAAAACCCGCCGTGGATTACCCCCAGATTGAATTTCCTAATGTATTAATTTAAAAGGGTTTTTTTTTATTTATTTTTTGTGTGTGTGTGTGGGGTTGGGGGTGGGGGGGGCGGGGGCTGGAGGCTGGGGTTGGGGGAGGGGGTGGGGGGGGGGGAAAGAAGAAAAAAAAAATCAGTGCAACGTCGCTTTTTTTTTGTGTGTGTGTGTGCTAAAGTTTATATTAACACGTGTGAACATTTTCTTTTTCCTCTTTATTTTTTTTTTGCTCTCTCTGTCTCTCTCTCTCTCTCTCTCTCTCCCTGTGTTTTGCTTTGGAGGACAGGACAGGACAGCAAAATAATTTATATATATATATATATGCATATATATATAAAAAGAAACGTAGAGTTGAGTCGAGTCACACAGATTGTCGACGCCTCTGATTTCGAAGAATCCTTAAACTGCAAACTCAATTAAAAAGTACAGGTTGTGATGAAGACGCACTCTTAAAAATAAAGCACCAAAACCGCGATGGAAGGATCCAGCGGCTCGAGCTTTGGAATAGACACTATTTTGTCCAATAGTTCCGCTAGTCCTGTGCTGATGAATGGAGATTTTCGCCACGGTGACGGCAGGACTTCAGATTTCCGAAATCAGGCCACCCCGTCCCCGAGCTCGGAGATAGACACTGTGGGGACTGCTCCCCTTTCACCCCTCTCTGTGTCCATGGAGCACCAAGAGCAGCCACATCTCGCCCAGGACAACCTCCACCAGCATCAGCAGCAAAGTTTGCAGCCGCCACAGCAACTGGCAGCCGCCAACTCTGCCCCTAGGACTTCCACCTCCTCTTTTTTAATCAAAGACATTTTGGGCGATAGCAAACCGCTGGCAGCCTGTGCACCTTACAGCACCAGCGCCTCCTCACCCCACACCCCAAAACCAGAGGCAGAGTCCTTCAGGCAAAAGACAGAGCCCGAGGAGAGCAAAAACCGAGACAAGCTCGACAAACGAGACGACACTCAAAACGACAGCATCAAATGCAATGGTGAGTCTGCTCGCCTCTTGTTATCATTTTTAAAATATATATATATACATATTGGTGCTGCTTGTTTTTGGTAATTTGCGTCTAACAGTTTTGCAAGTGCTACAGACGTGTGTAACGCTGCGCACTGACAGCTTTAGGTGGCGTGGGGGGAAATTGTCAGATATCTTGAACAAAAAACAACCGAGATCTTGGTTGGAATAGCATTGCTGCGTTTTAACGGGTTACCTTCCTGGTCAATGATGTTGATTTGCTTCATTCGAGAGTTCTCAGAGTGTTCTTGACTGCCCTTGTGTTACTGTCACCTTTGTTTATTCTTGTTTTTTTTCACAAGAAACCGATGCAGCAAATAGATAATATATCTAGAGAGAGAGAGAGTGAGGGAGAGCGCTTTCAGAACTACTGAGATTGGGCAGCACATGCAAATGTTACTCTATCGTGTCTGGGAGCATTTGGTTCAGTATTCATATTCAGGAAAATGTTAATGTGGGTTGCAAAAAAAAGCAGTGGGGCCTTGTTACTTTTTTCTTTTCTTAATGCTGCTTTGCTGCGTCTTGACACTGTATGGATCGTGGTCGCAATTTAGGAAGAATTGTAAATGCATCCGCAATTTTTTTACTAACATAACGAGATTTACTCATTGCATTTCGTTACCAACTGAATTGATCTAGAATATTGTTTTCAGAACGCCTCCCAATTTCGGCGATATTTTTTTTTGAAGGGTGTGTAGATTGATATAATTGGCCCCTTTTTCTCGGCGACATTAAAAATATTCAGTGGTTTATAATGGCTGTTGAAACAAGTATACACGAAATGAAAACGTGCGATTAACAGAACGAGCTCTCGACTTGATCTGCTTTATAGATGATAACTCGCGAAACATTTCCAATGATACTTTATCACTCGGCCATTTTTGTTGTTGTAAATTGTGTGAAAATGAAAAGCCGGTCGTTTTATAATTCATTCGGTGATTAGTATTAGCATAATAGAGATGGGGGGGGGAAAAAAACAGATGTAGAGTCTGGTCTGGCGATTTTTGTGCACAAACCTCCCCAGTGGGTCAATTAGAGAGATTATTGTTCTTCCTGCAGGGAAGATCATGGAGAGCTGCAAAAACTGGTACAAATAGAGATGGATTGACATATCGATTTCTCAGCATTTCAGGAAAAACTCAAACTTGACAAATAGCATTCTTAACACTGTCACCCAGACCTCTGTGTGGCTCTGTCTCTCTGTCTCTCTCCTCTCCCCCTCTCTATCTGTGCCATAATTGTAGCTTACACATATCACACCATTAAACAAGTTGCTTTGGGGAAACAATTATTTTAAATTATTTGTCAGTTTAGTCGTTTTTGGTTATAAATAATTAATAGGCATGAGGACATTAAAAACACGAGCATCTCCGGGTTTACCAAAAGCCACATATTCCAACTGTTTTAAAGATAAAATCCATGGGCTGATTTTGCCAATGAAAAAAATAATGGTAAAATAATATTGCGTCGAAATGCAACTTTCGAACACCCCCCCCCCCCACCAACCCCCACCCACCCCCCCACCACCCCCCAACCCCCCAAAAAAATAAGGACGCAAGATGTTTCTCAAAGTACTTGGGAATCACACACAACGCTTATCTTATTTTAGGTACAAAAGAAGAAGGCGATCGTGAGATAACGAGTAGCCGAGAAAGTCCTCCTGTGCGAGCGAAGAAGCCTCGGAAAGCGAGGACGGCGTTTTCTGACCATCAGCTCAATCAACTGGAGCGGAGCTTCGAGCGACAGAAATACCTCAGCGTCCAGGACCGCATGGACCTGGCGGCGGCTCTCAACCTGACAGACACCCAGGTCAAAACCTGGTACCAGAACAGGAGGTACGTGAGACCACACTGTACCTGGGTATCCATCTACCCTTCTATATATCTACCCATCTATATATCTATCTATCTATCGAGCTGCAAACAAAACAAACCAGACTGCACACCTTGTAACTAACTGCATGTGGACCGCGTACAGATGGCACACAGTCGATTAATAAACTATTCCTACACATGCCCTCTGCAATCCGGTGTGAAACACGACCAAGGATATGTAGGAACTGTTGGCAACACGCGGATGACAGAGACACCAGACACCGACGTGCGTACAAACGCGCGGAAACCGGATTCAAACAAAAAGCGATGGCTTTGCTCTTCTGGTCGCCACCCGTCATCGTGTAGATAGATGTAGACGCAGAACAGAATCCCTGCGATAATTCCTGTCCACCCTAAGACTTTCCAAATCGGGCCACAGCAGTAAATAAAAATATACGGTCGGTCATAAAGTTTCAGGTTTACTGTACACGTCTATTGTATGGAGATGATTTACCTGTTTCCCCAAACATACTCTTCCTTCTCCTGCATGTTGCAAACCCAGCAACTCATCTGTGCAGTGGAACGAACGTGAGATTGTAACTGAATTGGGTGACATCTGATTTTCGCAAACGCTTTCAAATATTGAGAGCGTTGGGGAAAACTTTTGTTTCCCACGAATTGACTTGGAAAATGTCTCAAATTGAGTCCATTTTACGGGGGGAGAGGGGGTGGGGTGGGGGTGGGGGGGGGGGGGGGAGAGAGAGATGGCTGGGGAAAAAAAATATAAGTCAAATCCAGTTTATCCTGAAGCCAGGTGTGTTCTACAGAGACATCTCGCCAGATCTGTGTGTATGTTGCGCACTTAACAACCCGAACAATTAGATGTGAAATTTTAACATTTATCGCAATCGACGGAAAGTGGAGTTGGAGAGAGGCGTCCAGTTGTCATCCATGCCACAGTTTTTCTGTCTCATTACATACAGTTTTCAACCATGCTAAATCTGTCAGCAAACATTAACGTCAGCTGTTCCCAAATCTAAACACGGTTTAATACGTCATATGTATATATATATATATAAATATATATATATATTTAACCTTTTACGATTTTTATTCCGTTTATTTTTGTGTGTTAGTTGTTTAAAGGCACCAGGTCCGCGCACGCACACTGGAAAATATTTGGCTGAACCACAAGCCTTTTCTCTCGATATGTTTGCATCTGCTGCAGATTATTTCCTGCCCACTTTGCCTGCTTGCTCCCTCGTTTTAATCACGTTTGCGCTCCATCCCAATTGAGAGCAAAACACTGGATGAAGTTTAAATATTCCAAATGGCTCCGCGTTATGAGATTTGTCAGATATTTATCCAGTCATTTATCGAATCCATGTGCCTCGAAGACCAACAGAGGGACATTTCACCCCCTTTAATTTAATTGCAATCGATTTCTGCACTGTTCCCTTTCGTTAGAAGAAAAGTGCATATATTTAGTGGTGGGGGGAAAGTGCATATTTATATATTTTTTTGGGGGGTGGGGGAATACATTTCGACTGGTTATTTTTTCCAATTGTTGTCGCTTCCTTCTTTTCACTTGGGGGGTTAACTTGTGAGTGTGTTGTGACAAAGCCCCTCTAATTCCAACCTTGGCTGTTTCTGCCCTGTTTCAGGACCAAGTGGAAGAGGCAGACTGCAGTGGGACTGGAGCTGCTGGCAGAGGCCGGGAATTACTCTGCTTTGCAGAGGATGTTCCCATCTCCCTATTTCTACCACCCGAGCCTGCTCACAAACATGGACACGACGGCGGCGGCGGCCATGTACATGTACCGGACTCCACCGCCTCATCCCGGACTTCAGCGGCCACTGGTCCCGCGAGTCCTCATCCACGGTCTGGGCCCCCCAGGACAGCCAGCCCTCAACCCACTGCCCAACCCCATTACCGGCACACCACATCCCCGGTGAAAATCACACAGAGAAACAGAGAGAGAGAGAGAGAGATAGAGAGAGAGATAGAGGGGAGGGAGTGAGTGAGAGAGAAAGAGAGAGAGAGCGAGAAGGGGAGAGAGCAAAAAAAAAATAACAGGATTGTGAAAGCCGCTGATAGGGACATAAACACAAACTCTGCTCCAATGTAAGAGAGTGAGAGAGAGAGAGAAGGAGAAGGAGAAGGAGAAAAAGAAGAAAAAAAAGGTCGAGGGTAATGGACTTGGAACTTTGCACTGATTTCTCATGACCTTTTTATCTGAACGTGGCATGCACCAGATTAGTAAGAAGTGTACATTTTTCGAGACTGGGTGATACACGCGTATTTATTATATGTGGTCAGAAAAAATCCAGTTTGAAACTATATATACATTATTAGTAAAAGTACTTACAGATTTTTTTTTCTCCTCATTTTCATGCAGTCTTTTCAATCAAATAAATACTTAGATCAAGTAAAACTAGTTTTTTTTTTGTAGTTTGGTTTCTGTCTTTTAAGGTAAATTGAAAGTTTTCCTTTAAATATAAATATGTATTTAATAACATGAATAAACATTTAATATTTATTTATGGAACATGGTTGCGGAATGAAACGACGTAATTGGGTTGGAGGTGAAACTTGATTTAGAATGGATGAGCCAAAAAATGGAAGGTTTGTCAGTTTAGACCCGGAGTTAATGGAAAGGTGGATTCTATGGGATACAGACTTCACCAGAATTTTACTGAAATAACATCAATGCGAGTTGCTGCAATTTCAGAAAAAAATAATACAGCGGAAAAAAAAGATCGCAAATGCACAACAAGGCATTTTAATTGATAAACCCCGTTTTAGGCCATTGACGTCAACTAAACATTAGTTTTAAAGGACCATTTTTTTGGGGGGGGGGTGGGTGTGGGGGGGGGGGGGGGGGGGGTGAAATTGTGATTACAAGCGCGATTCGTGGAATCGATCGCCGCATTTTGCTTTCGTATTTCCATGTTCGGTTGAGAAGGTACAAAATAGAGGTGGCAGCAATCGATTCCAAATATTTTTTTTTAATTTAGGATTTTTTTTTTACGATGGTAGCTGGTGGTGTGGGTGCTTATACCGTTGTGTGTTTTTTTTTTTGAATAGTGAACAGCACATCATAATGGATGGTTTGTGAGGCTGGCTGGCCTGCCTGGGAAACGGGAATTTGTCCCAGCCTGGCAGCTGTTGTGGGGAAGCATAACGCTTGAAAGCACCGGCTTCGCCAGACAGCAGGCGTAAGGCAGCTCAGCGTGAGCAATTGGAGTGAAAAACCCAGGGCGAGCGTCGTCAATGTGAGCGATGGCAGCGAAAGCAGAGAGAGAGAGAGAGAGAGGAGAGAGAGAGGAGAGAGATAGAGAGAGATGCAGAGAGAGAGAGTGAGATACAGAGAGAGAGAGAGAGAGGGGGGGACAGTCTCACCTACACACTCCTTACCTCGTTTAATCTAAAGGGGAGGGATCCGTGACAATGACGACCCAAAGCTTTCAGTCACCTTATACTCCAAAGCTCATCCAAACCCAGCGTTTGATCTTAACTCTTTAACGATGCACAACGACACATTTCGTAAGCGCCTGTACTCTCAAACCGCCAGGACAAAAGGATATGCGTTGTTGTCTCAAGTTCTGGGCTGCGAAAAGATAACTTTTTTAAAAAAAAAATTCGAAAAAAAAAGGCATTTTTTTTTAAGGTGGCTCAAATCATTTTTTTTATTGTGGTGACTGTTAATTTAGATGTAACTTTTTTTTCGCTGAGCAAAGCAAATATTTGCTCCTGGTGTCGTTATGCACAAGGTTATTTTTATTTTTTAAAAAAATATATATAGTTTGGGTTATTAAAATTGTGAATTAAAGGAAATTGAATGTGTGACCTAATCACAAAAAAAACCAAGCACAGAGATCTAGGAATGTATTAGATAACTACTGATATATATCGTGTAGTGAAAAGACGAGGCGTTTTGCTAAACAATGAGAGCAGCAAACAAATTTCCATCTGGTGGCCTCTCTCCCAGTTGTCAGTTTTTTTTTATCGGCGTTTTGTGTGTGACACGAGCAAGTCCACAAAGCATCACCAAGCTGGGTTGATTGGAATTATAAAGAAATAATGAAGTTACATAAACATTAATATACATTTTTAAAAAAAAATATCATCTCCCCTGGAGGTTTGCAGTCGCATGGTGCTTTCATGTGAATAGACTCCAGAATGCAGGAGCCTCGGGGCACATTTGTTTTGGCTTCCGTAATTGGAGAATCATTTGCTGATTTCTCTACTAATAAATTCGCGTTAAAAACAAATTGACCTCAGCAACGGCCTAATGAAAGGGAATAAATGGCAGAGAAACGCCTACCTCATTTTCCCCTCACACATTGAACCTTTGCAATCACCTCGCCTCTGTTGGGGGCTGTTTGTTCAATCCCTGATCAGCTAGCTTTCATTTATTTCATGTAATTAGAATTGACATTTCCAGCTTTTATTTTGTTTTGAGTTTGTTATGTGTATAATAACCCATTTCGGAGGAATTTACTTAATAACGCCATTCGTCGGAATAAACAAATAAGACTTCTGTTTAAAAAGAACAAACCCAATTAAATCGATAAAATTGCATGGTTTGAGGAACAAACCGAAATATTTATTTTGAACAGTTAAAAGGCCAAATGGCACATCATTCAAATAAGGGCTATACATTTACCAGCTCAACGAGTTACATTAACTTCGCCTATTCACTAATATTCAATCTAACATCGTTATATAGTATATATGAACTATTTTATAGTTTATAAACAGTACTGACTTATACAAGCGATGATTAAACCCTGTATTTAGTCAAATCCAGAGATAATTTAACTTAAACCAAACCGTCTCAAAGTAAAACTGTAACATTTCATGACAAAATCTTAGTTCTTAAATTCGAGGTTGTCACTGTGTCGGATCATCTGAACCAAAGAACCTGCTATAATGTCACTTCTATGTGCGCCACAGTTTTGTATTCGAGACGAGCAAAAGCAGTGAGAGAAACGTCAAAATAGTTTAGATTTAGAATGAGCCATTCATTTCAGTGAGACAGAAAACGTTCGTGAACAGGTTGAAGGAATATCCACCCACACACTGGTGATTTTTCTTTTAATTGTTACGTCGAAAAAGTATTGGAAACGTCTAACTTGTAAGTCTAACTTGAACCTTTCCCTTTTTGTTCAGTGTTTCATTTTACTCCGATAATCCCAAATGAATATAACGACGACTGTCCTTACTCCAGGGCTGATGTATGCACAGGGCGGTTTGCGGTTGGGCTAAAGGATACTTAGACAACAACTAACTCTGCAAAAGAAAGAATACTTGACAGAAATTCGGATTTTAAAAGCCCCCACCGCGCAAAAAAAAATCAAAGACGATTACATGCAAATACTATTGCAATCGTGGCTGTATCCAGGTTGGTTTCGTGTTGTGCCCCCGAACTTGTTGTTGAGTGAACTTGTTGTGGAACAAGTATTGGACAGTCTGAGACTAAAATGGTCAACGCTGGTAGCAATGATAAGAGTCTGCCTGATTGAGAGGCACTGTTCGGCGTGGTACATGTTGCCCTTTTCTCTCTATAAGGTGTTTGTCGTCTGCAAAACGTTTTAAGAAAAAAGATTCCACAGTTTCAAAAAGTACTGCAGACGCCGCCAATTTGCACAAACAAAGTAGTGTGTGATATCACACCATCGTGAATAACGTTAAGAAAAATTGCACGTGGAATCACCCGTATAAGGCAAAACTTTAAAACTTCCTTTTTTGAGCATATTGCCAACAACGCTAATGGCTTCACTGAACCGCTTCCATCACTGCCGATTTCCAACTTTCACCACTGTAGTAAGTTTTTATTAATGTCAAGAAGACAGGTATATTGTAAACGTATTACATAAGATCACTTTTATGTTTAGTTTTGAAAGATACAGATTTCTGCGTAGTTCACCATTTTAAGTCTGTGCTTACAGTTTGTGGAAACTCTAAACTCTGAGACCTGTGTTAATATTAACTCAGATAACTGACTAATTATTTCTTCACCAAAGTGATATACGAATATTTTTTTTAGAGCATTGAGGAAAAAAAGCTATTAGGGTTCTGTACCTTCCATAATTCAATTTTGATATTCAGATTTAGAAATGTTGAGAAAATATAATGGTTGACACAGGCATTATGTGCAAAACACAGCGCGCAGTTTAAATAGACTCATAATTATAAATTATACACGACCTACATGCCATAATTGTGGCGTTTTGATGATTGAAATCAGTTTATTAAGAATCTTTAAAAGACAGTAATTTGAGTACTGTCTATTCTTTGCAGTTTTAAATCACAAAAGGATTTTCTAGTACCAAAACTGGAGATATGTTTACTCCAAATCTCTCCTCTGGCTTTATATGTACCAATACAATGTCCGCAAACAAAGTAATGATGGTAATATTTATCCTTTATTACAATTATTTTACAACAAGTGCACAACTAGACCAGTCCACCTTCAAGATTCAATGCGGTAAAGTGTCAGCAACACTCACCATAACGTGTAATAAATATTCTTTTTAACTTTTTAACTTTTTGAGACACAACCTAATCGCATGAAAAGCAAGTTCTGATTTTCCAACCTGTTCCTATCAGCGAAGAATGTAAAAAAAAAGAACAGTAACGGCCGTTCTGAATTAATATCAACCCTATTCTTTAATTCAATTTTCATTTCAAATATTGTGACAAAGTCCCATAAATGCAAAAGAATTGTATGTGTAGATACACAATGCGTTAGGCTGGGTAAATTATTACAAGAAAGAGCTATTTTTAATTTAATTAATTATTAAAACGTGTCTGATCTAATTTCTGTGTTTTGCTCCGGTATCCTAGCAATGACTTGTCATAGATGACTGTTTTGATATTGGCTATTAAATATATTACTCCACAATAAGTTTAATTATCCCTTATTGCTGTTTTTGCGCTTTTGCATTTCAGTTCAGCGATTGACAAGAGACTCAATTGAGTAATTATCTCGTCTTT